TGCCTCTATAAATACTTCTTAAGTCACGGGTTTATTTTCTTTGACAAATACTCCTTTTGCTATTCGCCACCAATGTTGTGCTTCACCTTCTAACATAAAAACTACCAAGGCCACCTTCTTATCATCAGGACATTCCATTACCTAGAATATTTTCTCTAATTGCATAATCCATCCCTCCTCTTTTAGTGGTTTTACAGCACCTTTAAAAATAGGTCGGTTCAATTTCTTAAATTGTTTGACATTACTCTCACCATTTCTCGTAACTGACTGCCTGGGTGGATTATTGTTTTCCATCTGATGTTGCATTAGAGAAACCATATTTTCCAAGGCTTTGTGAATTCCTTCCATATTAGCTTCAAATATTCTGGATCTTGACTTCGTCCCGATCTGTACACACAATAAATGTGATTTTAAGTACATTCTTTTTAAATTTCTTAAGAATCTTAAACCTATTGCTCTGATACAAAAAATTGTCACACCCCAAGAATTTACAATACTGATATTCCTGAGATGTGACAGTGAAAACATATATACATTGCTGGATAGGACAAATTTACAGTGGCGAATTCTTACAACGTAAGAAAATGACGTTTAAGCACAACTTCAATATCTTCCAAAGTTGATCCCGACGAGCACTCAAAATGAAACCGCAGTTATCTTGAAAAAAATGTTTACCATAGTTTGATGAGTTTGGCTACTCAGTAAGTGATCATCATAATCCTAAAAATAATCATGATTGAAAGATATCAACAATTTCAAAAAGGAGATCTATTAACAGAAATGCATTAACAGTTTCACTTTTAAAAATACATAATTAAGTATAATCCGAATAATTGAAATGCATATAACATTTTAACGGTAGTACATAATTCAAAGGATTTCACAAATTACCCTACTGTCGTCCCGAGTAGGTCACCTATATACCCCATCAGCGTCTTGACGGGTCCACTTAATCCCTATCAGCATCCCAGATAGGTCCACTTAATCCCTACAGGTCCACTTATACCTCGCCGGCGTACCGGATGAATCCACTTAATCCCTACCGACGTCCCAGATAGGTCAACTTATACTTCACCGACGAACCGGATGAGCTTTAAACATTCGAAAGCAGCAATATCATGTACTCAACATATCACTGAAATTATTAATATGAATTTCACTGAAACCATTAATGACAATCACTTTCAATAACATTTCGAAAATAACCAGTCAAATATTTTGGGCTCAAATGAAGAAAGGTAGCAATTCGTAAAGACATTCTAGCATAATTGCCAATCTAATATGTATAGAAAAACTCTTATAGAAATTCAAGAATACCAAATTATCACAATTTATGGGATGTCAATTCGCAAATAAACATTCAACAGACAATGCTATAATCAATTGCAAAAATATCAATTTTCAAATAATAAGGCAGTCATTTGCACATGAAATTTATAATGTCTAAATATTCAAAAACAGTAGAAAGAAATCTCGTAATTTTACTAAAAGCAGAAATATCACATTTATTTCTAAAAATTTTACAGTATCTAAAATTTTCTAACAAGAGATAAGAAAAATAAATAAATTTAATTATTTAAGAATTTACAGCATTTAATATTTCTAACATAGATAAAATATCACAATTTTATTAAAAAGATTATTTTTCAAAATAATAAGGTCGCTTACGCATAAAATTTATCGTGCCTAAAATTCATGATAATAAGCAGAAGTAATTATTTCATTTCATTTTTAAAAAGAGCGGATTATTTTTCAAGATAATGAAGTCACTTACGTATATGTCACCCTGAGATGAGAGAGATTAAAATACTCGTTTGATTTTAAGTCAATCGCAGACTCTTTATTGTCTCAACTCATTGAGGCCGGGAAGCATCTTGTCCATTACCCACTCTAAGGTCATTGGAATAACCTTTCAAATTTTTACCAGATAGGCATTCATCTAAAACAAGAGTTCAGCCTAAGAGACTTCAAGGCATGAAATTGCAGCATCATATTTGTTTGATGAAGGTGGGTCTTGAATGGAGATATAAAGCTCGTGGCCAAGTGAACAAAACTATCTAGAGAGAACCTTTCAAATTTTTACCAGATAGGCATTCATCTAAAACAAGAGTTCAGCCTAAGAGACTTCAAGGCATCAAATTGCAGCATCATATTTGTTTGATGAAGGTGGGTCTTGAATGGAGATATAAAGCTCGTGGCCAAGTGAACAAAACTATCTAGAGAGAGATAGAACAAAACTAGGTAGAGAGAGAGACTGTAACATTGAGGATTTTTCTCATTTCTACTACACTACCTACTAAGAAGCTTGTCAATATCCTTTGAAGCGTTAGGCTTTAAAATCCTTTGAAGCCTCTACCTGGAAACGAAGAGAGAGAGAGATTGTCGAATGAAGTAAAAACACCTAAGATGCACGGTGTAGTACAAGGAGTGTTAATATAAAGTTTTAAGGTGGTGGACCTAAAGTTCACCCAAATAAAATTGAACTCTCAAGTATATTAACAATAATATCGTTTATTTATTGTTAATATAAAAGTAGCAATATCTTAACGGTATAAAATTATTATTATTATTATTATTATTATTATCATTACTAATATATAATTATTATTTTATTTATTTATTTTGTATTTATTTTTGTTAACACCATTAATATTATTATTATTATTATTTTTTGTTCCAAAAGTTTTAGGTCGTCACAATCTCCTCCCTTTAAAGAAATTTAGTCCTCTAAATTTGTGTACTTGATTACTGAAAAAGATAGGGATATTTTTCTCTGATATCGTCTTCTCGTTCCCAAGTCGACTCCTCTCTTGAATGATACTGCCATAATATATGGACCAAAAGAATCTCCTTATTGCGCAACACTTGTACCCTTCTATCCAGTATCAAATTGGCTGCTCAATGAAGGATAGGTCCTTCCTAATTGGTAAAGGTTTATATTTCAAGATATGAGATGAGTGGGGCTGATATTTTCGTAGTGAAGATACATGGAAGACATTATGGACGTTTGCCAATTCGGGTTATAAGGCAAGTCTATAAGCGACACCTCCTTATCTTTTTAGGATTCCAAAAGTTTTAGGTCATCACACTTTAATTATTTACAAAAATGCCCATTGTTGAAGAATTGGGCGGGTCATGACGTGCCGTCACATGGCGATTTACGGCACGGATCGATTCATGACGTCACATGGCAATTTACGGTACGGATCGATTCATGACGTCACATGGCGATTTACGTCGCACGGATCGATTCATGATGTCACCCTGAAATTTACAAAAATGCCCATTGTTGAAGAATCGGACGGGCCATGACATCATGAATCGAAGAATCGGAACATGCATGATGTCACATGGCGATTTATGGCACGGATCGATTCATGACGTCACATTGCGATTTACTGCGATTTATGGCACAGAATCGTCTGTTCTTCCCTAGCGATTTTTCGATATTTCACTGGAACCGGCGATTTACGATTTACGGCACGGAATCGCCGGTTCTTCTCTAGTGATTTTTAGGTATTTCACTAGAACCGACGATTTACGGCATGACACGGAATCGCCGGTTCTAGAGAAGAACCAGGCAGTTCTTGAGACGAAATGGACGGTCTGATTCGACTTGCCGACTTTTGAATCACTGCCTAAAATCGAACTGAGCGAGTCCGGTTCGACTCCGCCGACTTTTGAATCACGGCCCAAAACAATGTTGAAAAATACAAAAAAGGCATTTTCTAAGGGTGATCATTTCAAACTTTGGAAAGAGGCGGTTTCCAAAATCATGCCTTCTCGTAATCAAACGCATTGGTAGGCTCGGATAAAATCACAAAAATGCCCATGCTTCTAAATTGGGGTGATTTGATCATTTTTGAAGAGAAATTAAAAATAAACCTTCTAATATTAATTATGATGTGATACTTTGACGCTTTGGATGATATTGTGTAGGGGGTTATGACTCCATAAATTATATCTTTCATATCAATTGTACCCTTCTTGCCGGGCGGGAGTTCTGAAGGTGATGAAGGCTACGACATTATGTGCCAAGATCGGATCCCCCTGCTGATTTCATAATGATTGCATGGCCCTATGTACCATCATATTGATTGAGACTAGAATTTAATTCGTATGATTCATTCTTTCACAATATTTAGAAAATGTTTCTTTTCACTAAGGCCATCTGATAAATTGGTTGGGGCATTTGCTAATTTTATGAAAATTGAATTTATAATTATTACAATATAATTTAAATAAGGAAAAATTTTATACGAGGTTGTAACTTTAAAATGCCAAAATTAAGGTGCACCTATAAAATCCATCGTAAAAGCTATTTTGAATCTAAAAAACCCTCTACTTAATCCAAATGTCTAAATATAAAAAAATAAAAAAAAAAACTTTTGAATCTAAAAAACAGTGCATCTTACAACACATTATCCGATCGTCTATTTTCAAGAATTTCATGTGTTTATAAATCTGTTCGATTTGAACCATTTTTGGGGTTTAAAATTTATAATTAAATATAAAAATAAATTCTCACACCATCCTAAAACTTTTTGACATCAAAATTGCATCTCATGACAAAGTTTGAGCATGCACCTTAATTTGATAGTTTAAAGTTGCAACCTTATGCAAACCACACCCTTTAAATAATTTGAAAGTGCAAAATTGTTCAGCATTTACTTCAAATTTAAATTTTTCACTGTCCCATCGAGAAAAAAGAAAAAATGTCAGAAAGGTACCTAAGCCTCGTTCCAATATCAGAAAACCTCCCAAGTGTCTAATCCATACATAGCTTGACTATCAACATGATCAACAAAAGTAAAGATTAACACTTTTAGTTAAACTAAATCTGTACATAAAGCATAAAGATACATGGTCCAGATTGATCTAGCGTACTGTGCGCAAAACAAAAACGCAAGCCAAAGTAGCAGTCACTTCTTAACGAGAGAGGATTAGCCTGATAGGGTTTGTGGACTACACATGTTTTGCAACAGGCACATGCATGCTCCTTTGATCAATGTCATTTGTTAAAATAAAAACAAAATTTACAATAACATGGCCTTTCGAGTGCTTTCCTCATTCCAAAGCCCTTAAAGTGTGCTTTGATGTGTAGCCTATGCCGAGCAAGCCCAGCTTCCTGTCTCAGGCACCACACAACTGACCAATCTACAATGACCGGCAACCGAGGGCACTTAATGGTCATTTTACTGGGAGGGGGTTTTGCGCATCACCCCAAAAACTGGGGCATTTTTCATTACAAAAGCAAGAAAGAAAAGAAAGTAAATCTCATCTCATAGTCGAAGTGTAAGATCAGGCTTTGATGAATCTTCCTCATGAGGCACCAAAATAACTGCCTCTGGGCCCGAACTCATGGGCCCAAGGCCCGAGGTTGTGGGTCCAAGGCCTGAGCTGGAAGGCCCAAGGCCCGGTCTGAAGCTACCAGGCCACCAAAAGCCCACTCCATCTTCCTCACCATACACTGGAAGCCTGCATTCAAATCTAGGTGCCACACCCACACCCATGGCCGGTGCACCATGAGCGAGCCCATGGGCTTTGAGCCCGAGCCCCCTTAGAGGCAAGGCTGCAAGACTTGCGAGCCTAGCCGGAAGCGAGCCCATGCGTTGAGCCCGCTTGGCTAGAGTCCTCTCTCTCTTATGTGCATTTTGGTGACCTCCTAGTGCTTGAGAGCTTAGGAACCTTCGCCTGCAATAGTTGCATGAGAAGACTCTGGGCTCAGACCCAGACCCAGACCCAGTCCCGGAACCAGACCCTAGATGTGGGTTTGAGAAGTGGACCTCTGTGCTGCTCTCTCCAGTGCTTGGTACTGACCCAGAGCCACGAGCGGGTTCGGGGTGGCTTAGAGTGAGGTCGAGAGAGAGAGAGGTGTGGCCGACAGCGAGGGAGTTGTAGGGGGAGGTCGTCAGGTCTAGAGAGAATGTATCTTGGGGGGACCTTGTTGAGGCCTCCTGTGTTGTTACATTTGATGCCACCTGGCTGCTGACCACTGATCCTTCGGATGATGAGATCTCGGTCTCGGGTTGGATGTGAGGGCTTTTCATTATAGTTTTAAAGGGCAGTCGGTTTTTCTTTTGTTTGTTGGCTTGATCGATTAAGGTATGGATGTCACGTAAATGTTTTTTCCTTGGGCTTCTTGGATGACTTTTTCATGCATGGTAATGGGTATGAACATATGGGCTTTGGGTTAGTAGGAAAGCAATGCTAACCTAAATAATATGGTTTTTTTTTCAAGGGATGGGCTGTAAGGCTTATTGGTGTTCCATCGGCTGCATCTATAAAGAACCAGTTTGCCTTTCTGTTTGTTATCCTTCACAAGGTTTCTTAAATGCGTCTCCAAGGTCTTCTTGGAAATGACCTGCAGAAGAACTATGAGAAATGATAAATTGACCTTGATATTTTCCGAAGTTAAGTTAAGTAGAGGGAAACAATAGTACAAATTTCAAATTTAGACCAGCATAAGAGAATTGTAGAACAAAAACACAAAAAGCAGTTTTGTGACCTTTGTTGAAGATCAAGAGAAATTCTACTCGTGAAGCTCTAAGAGGATTTCACGCCTAAACTAGAAAAAAAAACACATATGAAATGGTATACATAAGACACATGATGCAGCCACGAGAAGTAATTTCAAGTGGTAGCTTTGGTTCACTGAAATGCAACACAAAGTTAAAAAACAAGTGAGGGTATCAAGCAGCCACAGAAAGCTACATGAGTCATGAGGTGCAAAAATTGATGACTATAAGGCACAACAAATTGACAAACTCTTTAAGTTAGTCTTATTATACGGTTCTGTAAAGAGAAACCAGAAGAAAAAAAATAGGTATACAGTTCCACTAGCATTCCACCAACAACCAGATATAAGGGGTACAATGGTATAAACCTTAAAAGCTTTGCTCCTCCCAATCTCCACACCTTTTCCAGAGAAATAATCAATGCCACTAAGAACACTATATGGAGTTTTCAGAAGAGCGAATATCTATTATTTTAACGCAATATAATAAATCATCCCCTAAAAGAACCATGGCATTAAAACTAGACAGGACAATGGGCATTGGCACGGTCCAGCTAGGCCCCCAAGAAACTGAACCCAAATACAATTTGATAGAAAACAGCATTTTCTCCTAACATGTGTAAATTTCAAAAGATGCAAAGAATACATTCTGCTCTGGATAGATTCAAGAGGGGATACATGCGCCACCTACTTCTCTATTAGCATCCAACTCACACGCACTTTGTTGACTAAGGAAGGCATTAGATGAACTCATAATCAAATTAAAAATCCTATTTTGGTTTGTTTAAACCCAACTTGCTTATTGGATGTTTATATTTCCACTCCTCGTCAAATGGATCAAATGGACCTTATTGGCATCACATACACCCTTCCACAAACAATCCAATTGGATACCTTTTTAGCGTTTCTGCAACATCTATAGGTATCTAGAGAAATGACATGAAATAAAATTAAAAATTGGCTGGATCAGCCATAAAGGCTCTAATAGATAATCTTTTCCATGACTTAACTCTTCTCTAAACAACATTACACCCCTGAATCACATCAAATCTTACTAAAATCTAACCAACAAAGGTGGAGATAGAATAGCTTCTTGAAAGGGATCCCACACTGTTCCCAGCTTGCTGGCTATTGAATCCACATGACTTCAATTAGTCCCAATCTGCAACCTGAGCTCTCATGGAAATCAACCATCAGGACTAGAACTGCTTCATAACATCTTAGAAATATTTTGAGACTGTTCATAAAACAAGGGGGAATTGTATGAGGCTAATGTGTCATAAGCCGCTACTCCCTCTTGACTCCACAAACTCTTTGTTCAATCCAATACCAGTTACGCGATCAACTGTAATTGGAAGCTTCCTTAATGAGAATGAAGAAGAAAGGAACTACGGAATCCGGTGGCCCAACTCCCCTAGATCTTCCACAAAACACCTAGTGGACTATCATTTAATATCATAGGGAAATAACTAGAGAATACAGACACCAACATCAATGGAGTCCAACTAGCCACAAACAACACATACTGTAGTAAGTAGTTTTTTTCAGCTCATACCTCACAAATGAGATCATATTTTCCCTCTCACTACGGCCTTGAGTTCTGCCACTAAATCTCTATCCACAATCTGTCAGCCCCGTACGTAAGAACCCTGCCAAGGAGCGAATATAGAAACCACCAGATACAGAGAAATAATTTCAGCTACAATGAAGAATTTAGAGAGCGTGTCACAAGCAAAGCCCCATTCCTTCGCCGGTAGATCAATACTTTCTCATGAAATTTGTGGAAATCCTTCATCACTTCACTGCTGAAAACATCCCAGCATTCTAAAAAGAATACTGCAGTACATAGATCCAGGCCTGGGATCTCTATCTTGCTCAAGGAGAAGATTACATTGAGAACATCATCAGATCAGTAGTACATCCACCATGCTATCCCCTCAAAACAGTATTAACAGGTAAATAGTTCTACGTAATGATTACAAAATTGGATGTCACATACCCTCATGAAATTCATTTTATTCTGGAGCATCATATTATTAAAAACATATTTGACTTTCTCTTGACCAAGAACTACCAAAAAGAGCACATTTTTGATATCTTGGGTCGATAATTCAGGATAATGGAGAGATTGAGAAAGATGCTGCACATAGAATTAGAGCTGGGTGAGTGAAGTAGAGATGTGCAATCAGAGTTTTCTACGATTGCCTCATACCAATGAAGCTGAAGGCGAAGCTTTATAGGATAGCTATGAGACCAGCTTGGCCTTATGGGGTAGGATGTTACGCAGTCAAGAAACAACATACCCATAAGGTGATTGTACTTGAGATAAAGATGTTGAGATGGATGAGTGGCAAGACAAGAATGGATAGAATTAGAAATGAATACATTCGAGAGAACTTCTGTGTGGCTCCAATAGGTGATAAGATGAGAGAAAGTAGACTTAGGTGGGCAAGCTATGTGCAACGCAGACCCAATATAACTCTTTATTAGGAGGAGCAAGTTGGTTCAAGGGGAAGGCCAAAAAAGGATATAGTTGGAAGTAGTGCAAAAAAATATGGGGCTTATGAGGGTATGGCCTTTGATAGAGCGAAATAGCGGACTAGGATTCGTATAGCTGATCCAAATAGTTAGGAAAAGGCTATGATGATGATGATATTTGACTTTCTCTAGTGAGAGAATCATTATATTTAATTATCACCTTCATTACAACCTGCAATGTACATAGATACAAACAAGGTAGACTCACCAAATATATTTGGTTTTACAAGATAATTAATATTCCTCAAATCTTCTCATCCAATGAGAGATAGGAATAAAATAATATAGCTGCATGCCAACTAAAAAAGGATTCAAATAAGCAACATCAATAAATTGGGTTATAATATGGATTATAAAATTGTTGATTGAAGTAGCAACTATATCCTCTCAGCTTCAGCTACTAGACAAACGGGATGGATAAGCAGAAGTTGTAAAACTGTCAATAGCATACCTAATATCACTAATTTGAGGAGAAGCATCAGAGTACACATTTAGAGTTTCTGTAGGCTGAATGACACTTAAAAAAACTTGTTGGTCACCAACACATGTCTAGTGCAACTAAAAACAATAGTTGAAATAGTTGATAGAGGCCATGGATTTAAAAGAATGTGGTGCTAATCCTACTTTGTGAAACTAATTTCTGTTTATCATGTATATATAAGAAAAGAGTTAGGAGCAGTGATTTAGTTCAAGTCGAAGGCTCTAAAGGGCAAGGGGAAGGACCAAAAGGGTATGGATGAAAGTAATGAGATGAGATATAGTGACCTATGGTCTGACTAAGGTATGACCCTTGATAGAGTGGAATGGCAGAAAAGGGATAATACCTGACCCCAAATAGTTGAGATAGGGCTCAAATGATGATGATGATATATGTATATGAAAAGAGGTTAATCCTCTTTCATTTTGATTTGATTGTCCTAGTGTGTATGGATCACATGTCCAAGCTGTGTTGGAAAGTGCAAGAATTTTTAAGCAAAGGTAGCAACGAACATAGTGTGGCCAAAATCTACTGAAGCAATGAGTAGTCAAGAAGTAAGCCAAACAATGCAAAAAAAATGGATGGGATGCAAAACAGAGGAGAGACAGATCACATGTAAATAAGAAGAGCTCACTTCTAAATAAGAAGGTGGGATTCACACTATTATGAGAAAAGCCTCCAAGACCACATCTGGCACCTTGCAGATGGTCTTCATTACTTTAATATAGGAGGCTGCATGAAATCCAAGCAAATATTCTTCAAAAAAGAGATTAGTGAACATACTTCAGTTTGAGGGCTGAGAATATTGAACTAAAATTTCACATGAGATAAGCACAAATGTGGCATTTTATGATTATTATTTTATTGTTTTTACATTATGTTTTCATTTATCACATAAATAACTCAAGACCTGGGTTGAGCCCCAAATTTGTCTAGTCTACCATTTAAAACTGAAGAAGCATATTTCAGATTCCTTTTTGTCAGACTATCAAACACAAAGAGTAAATAGAGACTTTAGTACTAGTAAGAAGGAGAAGAATTTATTCTCTGTGTAAGAAAGATGTCAAGAGTTTAATTTACAACCAATACATGACCAGATTATCTATAAATGACAAAAGAATGCCGCGTAAGATAATGAACAACACATTTTTCTTAAATAAGTCAATAATGAAATGAAAATTAGAGGAAAATGAAGGGAAAAAATAGTGAGCATACAGAATCCCATCATGAAATTAGTAGCACGACGCTCTTTTTGAGTGCTTCAAAATTCGAATGGCGAAAGTACATGCTCATGAAATCAACATATTTCTCCTAGTAAGGAAGGGTTACTTGGAGCCAAGGCTTGGCCCCTAGAATAATGATTGTAGAAAAGTAGCTTTGTAAAGTATGGGTATGAATGGACAAAAACAAGGAATTAACCAGTGACTAATAATCATTAAACCAAACCATAGTCAGTTATAACTACACATTAGATTAGTGAAATAAACAGAAGCACTTTCTCCAAGGGCTCAAAAAGGACCCAGATCAACAATGCAATGCCATCATATCCCTCTTATATGCAAATTTAAAGAATCTAAAAATGCCTCCAGATTTAAAACATTAAATATTTCAAAGTTACAGAAATTGTCTCCAACTTTAGGTAGTTACACAGAGAGGTTATCATTCTTGACATCAGCTCATACACATTATGCCATTATGCACAGTGGTCACTCAGTAAATGAAATGGTGTTTCTGGCTTGTCTCCTTGAAAGACTACCCAATAGTAACTGTACAACATATTTATAAGATCAAATCAAAAGAACTCAAAGAGATCAGGAAACTTAAAATAAGAGTAACAGATTCAAATTTATGAGAGTAACTAGCCAAGCAAATCAAAATCATGAGGCACACAAGCGAAAGATGATAAACTTCAACCTTCCTATAATACTCATAAAACTAGTAAATAATCGAATTATAGTTTCTCTAGCAGTGGCAAATCAATTAAGCAGCTCAAGAATACATGAAATATACAACTTAAAGATCATAGATTCAGCCTGTTGAAGATGTAGAATGAACCAGTAAAATTAGTAAATAAAGATTTTATACTTTCTTTAGCAGGGGAACATTAATTTGAATGAAAGTAGGATAAGTGATACAGCTTCCCCAATGGCCGCTTGAATGCAGATTTCCAAGATGCAAAATAACTTACATGCAAAAGAAAAAGGGTATGCAGTCTTAAACTTGAAAATTTTTGGCAGTTCATATTCCTGGTTGCAAAAAGAAAAAGCCTTCCTCAAACTAGAAAAATAAAGGGATCAGAGGAGAATAAATAACATACTCTGCAAACTAGAAAAAAATGACTACTTTGTTTCCCTGGAAGAATTAAAATCATAGAAACAAGGAGACAGCCCGAACTCGAAAGACAAATAATCAGAGAAGCAGATAAAAACAAAAGAGAGAGGCAATGGAATCACACATTTGAAACCAAACCAGGGAAACCCAAAAATAAAAAACAAACATCCTAAAAGCATGCAAATATAAACTCATCAAAAAACAGAATCTTGAACCATAGGCACAGAATCAAGAGAGGTATAAAAAACAAAAAACCCAAAACAGAAAAACCCCTAAATTAAAAGAATAAAAATATACAAAAACCCTTATAAATAAACAAAAACATAGAAAACCAAGCCACAAGAAAACTAAAAGAAACATAAAAAGAAAGATAACCCATGGGTGAACATAAACTAACCAGAAACAAGGAACCCAATTCATCACCATGCACATAGACAGATCAAAACCTCAACATCAAGGAACCAAGAACACTGAAAGACAGAGAGACTTACATTCATGATCTGAGAAACCCACATCATTCAGATTCCAAAAACATTGTGGCCCTCAGCATTTTAAATGATGAAGCTTTGTTCTGGTAGCATGACGTTGAGAACAATGGGCTTTGTGAAACAACCATCACTTCTTCGAGAGAGAAACAGACAGTCAATACATTTCAGTTGATGATGATAAGAAATAGAGAGAGAGAGAGAGAAAGAGAGAGAGAGGCAAAGGGGTTTTGGAATGGTGTGAAGAGTTATGGGCGGTGATGTTTAATTATGGGAAGTGTGCTTGGTAACAGATTTTTGGACTTGTCAGGTCAGAAAGGAGAGAAGCAGGCATAAATAAAGCAACAAAGATGATGATGTTTTATTTGTTTACTATTTTTCTTCTTTATTATATGCTCTGTATCTTTTCTCTGAGAGCAAAAAAATAAAAATAAAATAAAATAGAATAACAATAATAATAATAATATGAATGGATTTGTGGGCTTCTGTGGTTTCTTCCTGGTTTGGACATTGCTCTCAGTGGAGGAGAATCATGTCTTCCTCTTTTTAACATGGGCACCACCACTTTCACATCATGCATTTACATGCATGCATGGGCTGATGCATGTACATGTATGTTACTGCATGTATGCATGTTCCTGTGCGACCCATCCATGCATTATCGTTGTATGCATGTGTTCTTGATATATAATGGGGCATGCATGTACTCATTCAAGTATTTAATATGCATGTATCTGTGTGTATGTTGGACATGCATGGTTATTATTAGCTACCAAAAGGAGAGCGTTGCTATTATTGTACGAAATTTGAATAATTCCTTGACGAGTTGTTTAGACTTTAGATGATTAGCTAAATTTGACTCTTTTTTTTCCCAGGGAATAGTACTTAGTAAATGAATCAATCTAACGGAAATGGAGGACATTAAAACAAGGGTGTGGTTTCCATACGTATGCAACCTTAAACAATCAAATTAGGCCCAGGTGCACTTCCAAATTACGTAATCACTTGCAATTGAGGCATCGAAAATTTTTTAGGATGGTTTGATAATTTATTTTTTATAATTATAAATTTCAACTCTAAAAATAGTTTATATCAATTAAATCTATAAACGGATGAAAATCTTGAAAATGGATAGTCTAGATAATGTGTTGCAAGATAAACTATTTTTAAGATATAAAAATATTTTTCTTTTTTCATATCCACACATGTTTTATGTTTTTCAAACATAAAAGCAGCCTTTTTCCAATTGATTTTGACATGCACCTTTATTTACAATAAAAAGTGTTTACCTTATATTAACTTTATCCTTAAGATAAGATACGAATTAACCCTAAATACTAGGGAGAGTTATTATTTTGTCGAGCACTAGGCCTATAGGGTTAAATAAATAATCAATAAAACCTTAAAATCCATAATTTCTAATGATAATATTAGTACAAAGACAAAAATGATGCGAGCCGCCCGCCTAGGTAACAATATAGGCTGAAATGTTCAATAAAACCATGCCAACCCCTACCTAGACATCGAGTCACCAACAATGCACTTTAGTCGGATGCACATGTTTTTTAAATTTAAAATTTATTTTATTCATAAGAATTAAAATAAAAAAAATAAGCTACTTACACTAGAGGAATCTGGGCTGTCTGACATATGGATTATAGGTAATACATAAACATTAAATGGAAAACAAAAAACAAAATAGAGAGTTTCATGCATATACAAAACCATAGACACATTTTTTTTTATTAAAAAATTTAGCCTTAAGCACGCATGTGAATGTATCTCTTGATAAAACTCAAATAGTGAGTCATCCATCACCCAAAGTGACTATCTATAAGTTATTCTCCTATGCTTTAAAAAACCATTACCTAATTTAGTTGATTAATCACAAAAAAATCACTTAATTTTAAGTTCATCAAACTAATTAAATTTTTAATTTTCACTACTCTAGGAAGGAATATTTGGAACTTTAATTATCCCAAACCTGGCTTTCAGCCAAGATTTCGGCTAACTTTCCGAAATCCACCGAAATTTGGGTCCCCATGCTTCTCCCACTGTAACGTCAGCATCTTTATGACGCAATATTGATTTACGAAATTTACTAAATAAGGGTTGCATTTCGCGAAAATTCCTCTTTATTCTCCGCTCCTCGTTGCTTCCACTTTAAGCACGATATCCAATCACTGGCAACCGGTCACCCGATGACACGTGTCACCGAGTCTGTCGAACCGCTTCTGACAAAGATCTCGAACCAGTCGCCGGCTCCCGGGAAACCGGCACGAGTCGGTCGCCGAGTCCCCGACACAGCGCCGCTTCGAGGCTGTCGTCCACTGGGATAACACCACGTGGAGCATATTTGTCCGTTCGATTGTGGTCCCCACCATCAGCATAAGTTGGGGGACCGCTTTGAGAAGAAATGACTTGAATATCCTGGTCATTTCTTTTATTATCGGGTCTACCATTGTTTGGTGAAATATCGAAAATGGGTTTCTGAGAAGTGTGTCTGGAAAGACGAATTGGATGTATGTGGTGTTTGGGACTTTGTTAAAAAAATTGGGACTAATGGGTTTATTTATTATTGGAAAATATTTTGAGTTTACTTATTATTAGAAAATATTTTGATAGAGGTAATTATCTTATCAAAATAAATAAAGCTTCATTTCAAAAGTGATTGAAAATTATAGTTCCAGTGTTGGAAAAATTTTAAGTCGATCATATCAACCATAACCATTACAGTCGTGAAAAAAATTAGGATCTCAAACTTTAAAAATAATTCATATTGTAACACATTATCTACACCATCCATGTCATCCTAAAAATAAATGTTCATTGATCTACAAGATCTCTATTAGTTTTTGAGCCATAAATTTCATAATTAGAGGTAAAAATTGATTTTAGACTCATTATAGAGATTTTCCATGCCTAAAGTATTTTCTAGATGAGGTTTCGAGGTGAGGCTTTACTTTGTTTTCATAATGCTTGGGCCTTATAGACACTGCATCCTTAATTATATGGCTGAGATAGAGATCTTTTTTATTTGAGCCGTCCATTTGAAGCATTTGAGAGCGAAGGTTGGAGATCCAATGAAATTGATATTTTTGTCTTTGGCCGAGTAACAATTTTGTAGAGAGAGAACCATTCAAGAGAAGAAAGGTGGAATACCTTATTTCTAGAAATCCAGTTGTGGTGCTCGAACTTCTATTTTAGCTTGACAATGTAGGTTTGATATATTTTTTAATACAATCAAAATCTAATACAGTGCTTAAGATAATATCAAATTGTCACTATCCCACTAAAATGAACAATGTAAATCTAATACAGTACTTAAGATAATATCAAATTGTCACTATCCCACTAAAATGAACAATGTAGATTAATCTGCATCAACCTTGCTTCTACATGGTTGCCGCCTTACAAAGACTCTTTTCAAAGAAAAATTTAACCTTCTAAAGAAAATTAGCATTCAAATGGAGAGAGAGAGAGAGAGAGAGAGAGAGAGCTGTCAAAAATAATTACCATCCAGAGAGAGATGACCCAAGATAAGGAGAGCTTACTCATAACATGGGGCACATATTTGGCAATGTCTCATGAGAATAACTCCACAGGTGCTTAGTTGCCATCATAGCTAATGGGGTACTACCACTAATCAAGCTGTTGTTGTAATCTTATTGGTGTGTCCAAATTTTTGTCCTTTAAAAAGTTGAAGAACTTGAAATAGATATTACATAAAATAAAAAATATAAAAAAAGAAATTGAAGTAAATGCTTAAATTTTTTTTAAATTATTGAACTCCTTAAAATATCTTACAATAATTAAGGTAAACATTCAGCTTTCAGGACAATTCCACCTTAATATTATTCAAACTTTAAATAATGAAAGTAACAAGGTTTACCTAACTGCAACTGGAAGCTATAAGTGTAGTTGCAGCTTTGGAATATCAAGTCTTGGACCACTTGAGCACCAAAGACCATTACTAGACCTAGACCTCTATGAGGACATATATAGAGTGCATTACTTTTTGGAAAAAATTAATGTTTCTTTGAAGAAAACATTGCAATTGTTTTACTTTAAAAGAAAGTCTAATCTAATGTGTTCCCCATGTCAATGAGCATAGGTCATAGGGTATGAAATAAAGCACTTGAATTGAATTTCATGCTATAACCAATTATTACTAAACAAAGGGAAAAAAGAGATTGGAGGCAGTTTAGTGACTCCCACCAATTGAAAGAAAAAGTGGGTGGGAAGGAATCAACACATCTAGGGTGAATAGAGAGAGAATAAAATACATTTTTAGAGAGAGAGAGTCAAATAGGTTATGGGTGGGGATGATTAGTTAAAGAGAAAAGAAAAGGAGAATTTGGGTATATAAAGCAAGGATGGCATGATGATGATTTATTATTATTTATTTTGTATTTGTTTTCTCTAGAGTTTTGGATAGAAAAAGAGAAATAAAGAGGAAAGGAACCTTTTATATGGATGAAGTTAAGTGGGTTCTTTTGTTTTTTCACTTGTTTTGAGTGGGTGAGAATCATGTCTCTTTCTTTCTTTAACATGCTTCCACCACTTCCCCCACCTACTCATGTACATTCCATACATGGAAGGGTGCACATAGTGGACATATATGTAATTACACTTTTGGAGGGCTTTCTAGTTTTATATGCATCTTATTTGTGCTAGTGCATGCACGCGCATATGATGGATATGCCGGCACTTGATGAATAATACTATTATTTTTAAAAACGAGAATCAGGTGCTGACTTTGATCCTCGCCATCCTGAGTTGGCCCGCCCAATCAAAGTGAATCAGCATAAATCATGAAAAACAAGGAAATTATGAAAAGAAAAAGACAACGTAGAACTTTGTAAAAAATTTATCATTAATTTTTAACCTACGGAGTGGAATGGTGGATTAGAATTCATGCAGCCGACCCCAATTAGTTGGAAAAAACGATTTGAAGATAATAATGATGATGAGAAAAGAAAAAACAGTTGGGTTTTGGGAATCGCTTGCGTCATTACAGTGAACCGCATGGTTCCCTACAATAGACCACTCGGTTTTAGACAACCTTAGTGATTTTAAGATTTGGGACAAGTGACAAATAGGTACCATATCGGATCTCAGCTTATTCAAGCAATTATAAGTCGGCTCGCCGATTTTTTAATCCCCCGATGACACAATAGCAGTTCTTTATAGAATGTGGGCATAGAAACATAATTGCTCGCGGCTACATTTCCAGTGCTTGAAGGCATCTTTTTCTTTAGTGTCCGTATTAAATTGTTATATCATAATTTCCCCGCATCTCGTGAAAAATACAAGAAAAAACAGGTCATTTTTAATATCATAGGTTTTGCACAAGAGTCGCAATGGACCCGGACCCGACGAGCAAACCCGACCCAGAAAACGACAGTGGACCTGACCCGAATCCGAGTATGGATCAAAAAATTGGACCCAATGGGTTGGGTCCAGGTCCAAATCTTGGACCCAAACATTATTCGGGTCCTGATCAGGGTTCGATCGGGTCCCAATTTATAAAAATAAATTAAAATATATTTAAATATATAGATATTTTAGTTTTTGGGTCGGGTCCAATCAGGTC